AAAAAAACAAACAATAACAACAACAACAAAAAACCCAGACATTTGTTTACTACTACTTTCTGCAAAAACAAGAAATGGGTAACTTTAGCCAAAATTTATAAGAACCGCTTGAGGAAGCATAAAGGAGGAAATAACTTCCCAATTATGATGAGTGGACAAGACTTTTTCATTCACATTTAACTAACAAAAAACATAGGAAAGTTTGTTGTTGTTATCGATGTTTTAAATCTCAAAACAGGAGATGCTGTTTAAATATCAGGTGTATGATCTCTCTAGGTACACCCATTCTCAGCCCCAGGGGGTAATCTCAATGCACCCAGTGTGCTTTCTACAGGAAAATGTGTATGTATAAACCCTTGGACCAGAGAAGTTTCCTTGGGAACTGTTTTTTCTTTTGGGCATTTTATGGTTATGTTAATATTACTAAATTTCTACTAAAACTTTAACTTTACACTTAGCTGGATAACACAAAGAAATAGCTAGCTCAGTTTCTTTGTAATCCCGCTGCCTAAATCCACCTGTAAGACAGCAGATCTTCCCCAAATGTTTCATGCATGAGGGGGGCATACTACTCGCTAAGTAGTATTTTATATTTTACATCAGTTTGTTCTCTTCTGTAGTGCACAGAAAGACTCTTTATTGAAAACAGAGCTACCCTACAACCCAGCAATTGCACTGCTGGGTATTTACCCTAAAGATACAAATATAGTGATCCAAATGTTTATAGCAGCAATATCCACAATAGCCAAACTATGGAAAGAGCCTAGATGCCCAACAACAGATGAATGGGTAAACAAGATGTGGTACATAAATACAATGGAATATTATGCAGCCATCAAAAAACCCCAAAATCTTGCCATCTGCAACAACGTGGATGGAACTAGAGGGTATTATGCTAAATGAAATAAGTCAATTGGAGAAAGACAATTCTCATATGATCTCACTGATATGGAGAATCTGAGAAACAAGGCAGAGGATCATAGGGGAAGACAGGAGAAAAATGAAACAAGATGAAACCAGAGAGGGAGACGAACCGTAAGAGACTCTTAATCTCAGGAAACAAACTGAGGGTTGCTAGAGGGGAGGTGGCTGGGTGATGGACACTGGAGAGGGTATATGCTATGTTGAGCACTGGGAATTGTGTAAGACTGATGAATCACAGACCTGGACCCCTGAAACAAATACATTATACGTTAATTTTTTAAAAAAAGACTTTTTAGAGTATGTACAGCAGTTTTTTAAACTGTTGAGTTTTCTCCCTTTTCCAATATAGCCATCATTGATGAACCATGGCCCAATACCCCTCTCAACCCATGGGAGTGTTAATTAGGAACTGGATGCCTTCCAGTCTGCCCATATCCCTGGACTGCTTCTCTTCAACCACAGTAGTACAGGATCAAAACTGGTCACAGTCACATTAAGATTATCCAAACAAAAACACTGGGGAAATAAATCTGCTTAAACTGAACGTTTTAGTTTAATAACATACATAAAAGTCTTTGTTAAAGTATAAATGACACGTTTTATTTAAAAAGTAATCATCCTCATCATACATATATAATTCCTTCTAAAGCAGTCTTGGAGATCTTTCACAAGATGTTCGAGTTTTGCTGGCTCTATTCCAGAAGCACGGCCACCACAAAGCAGGTTGTAATTCTTGAGCTATTACACACTGGGATTTTTGCAAATAAGGTACTTCATATGGCAGCATGGGGAAAAAACGCTTAAAACACACAACTTATATCCATTTACAGAAATAACAGTTCCCAGTTGTGAACTAATTACTATACTTGGAAAATGCTAGCATCCTCATAAAAATCTGGTTAAGTTATGGTGCAAATCTGAATTTTTTGCCAGCTTAGAGAAGGGCACATTTTTGTGACATCTCCTAAGCATTTCCCTGAGAGCATTAGGAATGTTATTAACTTAATGAAATGTTTCAGCCTCTAGAACGGTCTTCATCAAGGGAATACCTCAGAGGCAAAGACTTCTTGAGGACTCTAAGAAAAATCTGTGGGTCCCTAAGTAGAAGAAAAGAAACAACCATGAAAAGTACAACCAGCTGAGAACTCACCCAGAGGAAGGGACGAGAGATGAGAGGGTTGCCCCTAACCCAAATATTATGCTCCTTCTATAAACGGCTGGAATGCATTTTCCACTTTACTTTGAAACTCTGCCATTTTCTGTGAATGAGCCACTGGGTTCCAAGGCACTCCCTTGTAAAAACGCAGCTGCAGCACAGCTTGGAAAGTACAGGCTGCTGGGGGTGCTGCGGGGACTGGAAAGAGTTCCAGGGGAGGGAGGAGATGATCACAAGTCATCCTTTTCTTCTGGGAAGGAGTCTGACCAGCATCGCACACTATCAGCCATACGAAGACAACTGACAGGGTAGGAGCAGAGAGGTGGGTGATCTGGACATTGGAGGAGGCCAGCATGTAGGTCAGGCTGGGAGGAAGGCCCCACATCAGGAGAGGAGGCCAGGAAACTCAGAGGAAAGTACCTGGACCCCAAGGGTATTAGAGGATGGGAAGTGCTGCAAAAATGGAAGAAAGACCTTTGTTCTTAGGAAAAGAGGTGGAAATTGAAACTTTCCTTTCTCCACCCTGTTCAAGCTACCCTGTTTCCGAGCCCCGAAATTCAGGCAGGTACCCTGAGCATTAGAAGTCAACAACACAAGGAGTTAGCCTGCCTCAGAAGGCCTGGCCTGGGGACTCAATCACCCATCTCCCACTTTCCGAGGCAAAGCGTTCCAAAGTCCTGCTGTTAGCCAGTTGTCGGGAACATGATAGAGAATCCCTTCACAAGATTACTTACTTGTGAGCAACTCTTTATGTGTATTCTCAGTTTTAGAATGTCATCAATGGGTTCTGAATCTCCAAAATATTTTCTAAGGTGTACGGAAAAAAAAATGCCCAACATTTGCGTCATCAAAAGGAAACTTGTACATTTATACACGGCAATACTTCCTATCAGCATTTATTACTTAATTGACACTTAAGCACTAACAATAAATGTTCATTTTCAGACACAGAGCAAGTTTAACAGTCTATCACTTCAATGAGCCCATTCTATTATTAGGGAATACTTACAAACATTCTCTACACAATTACTTTACATCAATCTAGAAATACAATCAAGAGGCAATGCTTTAAGGCTACATATTAAGGCTACCTTGGTTATTTGAAATATGTATAAGTAATAAAGATGCTTTTGCAAAAGGAGAGTATAAATTAAACACTATTTCCACTATTGGAAAAGAAATACTATTACAAGCCAACAAGACATTCAAAATGGTATCTTAAAATGTACTGCTATTACTATATGGCAGATAGATTATTGCTCAAACTGCCCATTTCTGAACACCAAGAGATTCTCACTTTTCTATCTTTTAAGCAAGGCTACATCAGAATAAAGACTTGAAATTAAGCTTCCTTTTGTGTTAAAAGAGATTTATTATAATAAAGTAAGTGCAAGTAAGTGTTATTAAAAATGCTGGTTAAAATTATAAAGTGTCTGTATCATTCTTCTAGTATAAATGTTGGAAGTAACATCGTAATTCTGCATGTACATAGAACTTGGAAAACATAAATCATGCACGAGCCCAGACTATAACTGCACGCTGTCCTTTTAGGTATCACCACTCTCTTCTCCTGGTCCCAGATCACTCCAGAATCTGAAAATATATACTAATATATATATACTAATACATATATATATACTATATACTAATATATATATATTAGTATATAATATATATACTAATTCCTCCGATTCCAAACTTCAAAATTTCAGTGTTTTAAACGTATGTCAGTTATCACACATTAACAATTTTTTTTAGTCATTATATTCTCACCAAGTGCTTCTAGTTCCTGTATTTCCCTTTCTCAATAGACCTTGGACAAAAAGTTGAGCAAGAAAAACTGATTGGAGGAGCCAGCATGACACGTATTCCCAATGATCCATTTAAAAGTGGCATAAGGTGTTTTATGTATGTATTATATAAATTAAAAGACCTACAAGGTGTGAAAGACCGTAAGTACATCAACATGTGAAGAAAATAAGCAGCTCACCCTCAGCCTGCTTACTTGGCTCCGTGGAGAGGAAGAGGCAGAGCTGGGAGGAGGTCAGGGCAAGTCAGAACCACTGAGAGTGTGTGTGTTTGGTCGGGGGGAGGCGGAGAGCATCACAGAGCAGCGGGGGAGAGGCGTGTGGTTATTAAGAGAAATGCAACATTATTACCTATCTGCTTTTGCCCACCCTGCTGAAGCAGGGACTGGTTCCAACCTGGCCTCCCTCGGGGCGTCCCAGTGTGGCTCTGGGGTGATTCTGTTCCCCCAGCACCGTGCAAACAGCCACTGCATTTCAGACGGTGTGAAGACACCGCTGCTCCTGGCTGCGAACAATTCCGCAAAAGTGAGGAACGACAGTATCAGTTTGGACATTTCACAAATACGGAGAGACTCTGGGCTAGGCCTCAACATGAAGGCAGGTGAAACAGCTTTTACAAATGAGCTGCTAATGCTCAGAGAGGCTAAGTGGTTCAGCCAAAGCGAAGACAAGGGCGCTAGATGTGATAATTATCCCTCTGTGACGGCACTGATCACACTTGCATGTGCACATAATTCACTTGGGATCTCAACCAAAATGCGTTGGGTCCCTGGTGGGACGCTGATTCTGTACATGCTGGCTCCTAGGAGAGGCAGGTGCTGTACGCACCCAACCAACGGCACTTTGAGAAGCAAGGATCTACAACACAAAGAGGGAGCTCCCTCCGTCTCTGTCTCTCTGGGCCGCAAGTACATCTTGGGAGTCCTGGGCAGAAGGAGATTCGCGCTCCAGTGTTCTCTGCCCACCACGCACATCCCCGGGCAAAAGGTGCCTTGCACGGGTGAGCAGCCATCTACAAGACTGTGTTCATGTATTTTCTGAGAGCACCATGACTATATGAACAGCCAAATAACCTAATTCAACTTGAGTAAATGGAGAGCGCTGCTGGCTGGAAATAAAACGAATCTTTTTCTCATGTAGTTCTTCTTACAGTGAACATGATATAAAGGCATAAAAAAAATCAGCACATGAAATTTCATAGTAAAAGGCCATATGTGCAACAAATACATATAGTATGACTTCTAAGAAATAAAATGCATTTTATCAGAATAAAGTGCTACCACTGCTCCCAGCTAAAATCATCTCCTCTTCCAAATACAAGGAAAAAACCTTGAATTGTAAGGAAAATGACTGCATTGCCTGCCAGCACAAGGCCACAGGCTCCCCATTTGATCTGAAACACAAGAAAAGAGGATTAAATCTTTACTTTCGTCATATTGCACTCTTTGAAAGTCTCTCTTATTTTCTGCATTAGAATTATCCAATGAAATATCACATAAAACCGCTAAAAGGCTTAATAATGTAACAGGCAGGAGACAGTGAACTATTCAGTAATTAGCCTAATTACTTCATGAGGCTTGATAATTAAGTCTGTATCATCCTTATCATCTTCCCCATTAGACGTATTTCTCAACTTTTCTTCAGAAGACGATGATTACGTCAGTAAAATACAAGCAGCCGGAACACAAAGGGTTAATTATAATACAGAGCACTAAAAGTTCTATACCCATTGCCTCCTTTCAGGAAAATAGGAACTGGGGAGTTATGGATTGGTCTGTTTCTTTTTTAAGCTTTAAATAATAACCTGCATACAAATGAAAACAGCTTTCCAGCCTGGCAGATGGTTCTACAGAGGCATAGGAGGGGATGAGGGTACCCTCTAGTGGGCATTCTTTGTTTTAATTTAACTGGTAGAAAGACAACGTCAATGAAAGGGGTTCTTCATAAAACATGATGCATGAAACAGAAGTCCTTATAGCCGAACAGAAGCAGCACTGGTCTCAGGTACACAAAGAATAAAGTCGTGATGATTTTGCACTCGAAAACCTTCAAAGCTTCTCCATTTTCTAGATAGAGTGCAAACTGGCATGGCACTCAAGAGCCTGCCCAACTGGGCTTCACCAGCCTTTGTGGCCTTGATCTCAACCACATCCTTTGGCTCCATTATACTGAACTGTTCTTTATACCACATATTGCCTTTTCACACTTGGGGGCACATTCCATTAGGGAAGGCTACTCTAATCAAAACTTATTTATCCTCAGAGGCCTACATCAAATGCCAGTTGGAATTTCTTCCTGGTGCTCCTATGGTGTTGTGATCATGTTTCAATTATCACACATAATACATTTATAGTGTACTTACCCATCAGGCTAGTTTCTGTGCTTTCTGGAACAGAGACAGTATCTGGCTCTTATTCCGGGTATCTTACAAATAGCAGATGTTCCAAAGATTCAACGCCCCAAGTAAGATATCCAATGCCCCAAATAAGAGTTTCATGAAATTGAAACAGTATGTAGCGAGTGGGAATAAAAGCAAGTAGGATGAAAGGCACTGAACGTCCAAGTGAATAAATTACACCCACAGCGTGTGTTTTGGAGACAAAAAGAAAAATTTCATATTAGATGTGAAGATGTCATCTTATCACTATATCTTCTAGAGGCCACAGTGGACCTCAAAATATGCCAACTGTATTGGGTTGAAAATTGTGTCCATGATCGTATTTACTGGAGAAGAATCTGAGATGACGTTCACTTTGGAACCAAAGAGCATTGCTATCCTAGTCTCAGTGGATCGCCCTAAGCAGCAAGGACTTAAGCACAATTCTGGAAAATAGCTTAAAGTCAAAAAGGCAAGAAAATCACATGCTCTGGCTACAAGTTGTGAGAGAAACAAAGCATTCTCAAAACAAGGCCAAGACACTGATAGGGAGATCTAAAATGGAAGAGCGCAACTAAACACACGTACGGATTTGAGTCTTAAGCCTCAGCCCTGGAAATGTTCTGGACACATGCCTTTGATATAACCTCAGCAACAACCAGGCAAAACAATACGAGACAAAACTTACCACCGACACACGGGCAAGAATAACAGGAAATCCAAAGGCAGAGACAACAATTCCAGTAGTAAAAAAATATGCCAGCTCCCGGCAGGCACTACTTGTGGCGTCGGAGTCATAAGTTGCTCTTTTGGCAATGAAATGGGGGATGGGAGAGATGACGTGAAATATCAGGACAAACAAGGGCCAGTAAACTCTGTCAGGTGGACCCAGAAGAAACGCAAAAAGAAAAGTTACGGTTACATTTTAAAGACACTCTGCCATTTCAAACTCAGAATTAGCTTCAATGTATGGGTCAAACAATCATTCATTTAATTGTCAGTACTCGTACATGAGATGATTTATACCAGGAACAGATAAGATATAATGATTAAAAATTATTAGTCCTTTAATATGTAGTTTACATGGTGTTAAAAAAAACAACTACACAACGTGTAACCTAGAATCTTTATTAGTAGTTTTCTGTCATTACTGAGCTTCCTGAACTGTAATTTTTTTTTAAAGATTTTATTTATTTATTTGACAGAGAGCACAAGCATGGGGAGAGGTGGGCAGAGGGAGAAGCAGGCTCCTGTGTCCCAAGCACTTGACCCCAGGACTGAGCTACCCAGGCACCCCCTGAGCTGTAATTTCTTAAAGACAGTCTTCACTTAGTGCAGACGACTTCACCCAGTCATCTTTGCTTTCCCTAGAGAACACAGCACAGTGTCTTCAATGTGCTAATTCAATAGAGATCTTTTGAGTATATATGCATGTTGGAAACCCTTCAATGGCTTAAGAAAACCCAGATTCCCTGCCCTGGCCTACAAAGCTTTATATGATCCCTTCATTTTGTGCCATCTTCTCTTCATTCACTCAGTAGCCACACTAACCTTTTTTCTGTTCCTTAAACATTCTGAGCTCATCCCTGTATTAAGTTTTCTGCACTAGCCGCGTCCTCTGCTTAGAATGCTCCCCTCCCCCTCTTCTCATTGGCTGGTTCCTTCTTATGTAATCTAAAATGAAAGGTCTTCTTCTAAAGGTGGCTCTCCCTGACCATTTCAACTTACTTACTTTCTTTCATTTTTTTATTGAGATATCGTTGACACACAATGCTACATTAGTTTTCGGGTATACAACACAGTGATTCAACAAGTCCATATACCACACTATGTTCACAAGTGTAGTTACTACCTGTCTCCATACATTGCTATTACAATACCACTGACTATATTCCCTATGCTGTGCCTTTTAACCCCATGACTTATTCATTCCATAACTGGAAGCCTGCATCTCCCATTGCCCTTCACCCATTCTGCCCATCCCTCCACCTCCCAACCCAACCGTCAATTTGTTCTCCTCAATAAATGGTGGAACAGCTAATGCAAATGAATGAAACTGGACCACTTCCTTATATCATATATAAAAATAAACTCAAAATGGATTAAAGACCTAAAAGTGAGACCTGAAACCATAAAACTCCTAGAAGAAAACATAGGCAATAATCTCTGACCTCAGCCTTAGCAACACTTTCCTAGGGAAGTCTCCACAGGCAAGGGAAACAAAAGCTACTGGGACTACCTTAAAATAAAAGCTTTTGCACAGTGAAGGAAACCATTAATAAAATGAAAAGGTAACCTGATGAATGGGAGAAGATATCTGCAAATGATACAGCTGGTAAGATGTTAATATCCTAAACATATAAAGAACTTACGCAACTCAACGCCAAAAAACCCCCAAGCAATCAATTTAAAAAGGGCAGAGGACCTGAACAGATATTTTTCCCAAAGAAGAAATACAGATGGCCAACAGACACATGAAAAGATGCTTAACATCACTCAACATCAGAAAAATGCAAATCAAAACCACAATGAGATATTATCTTATACTTGTCAGAATGGCTAGTATCAAAAAGACAAGATGTAACAAGAAGTGCCAAGTATGTGGAGAAAAGGGAACCCTTGTGCACAGCTGATAGGAATGCAAATGGGTGCAACCACTATGGAAAACAGTATGGAAGTTCCTCAAAAAAAAAAAAAAAAAAAAAAAAAAAAAACTAGAGTTACCATATGATCCAGTAATTCCACTACTGGGTATTTACTCCAAGAAAACATAAAAACACTGATTTGAAAAAGATACTTGCGTATCTATGTTCATTGCAGCATTATTTACAATAGCCAGGATACAGAAGTAACCCAAAGTCCATCAGTAGATGAAAGGATAAAGAAGATATGGGACATACACACACACACACACACACACACACTGGAATATTACTCAGCCATAAAAAAAGAATGAGATCTTGCATTTGTGATGATATGGATGGACACAGAGGACGTTATGCTACATGAAATAAAATGGACCATCCATTTTAAATACTTCAAGTTATCCTTAAGCACATTGCCTTCTTAGCTTTTTGCACAGCACTTATCCCTATTTGCTATTTCCTTGTTATGAGAACAAGAATCTAATTTGTCTTAATCAATCACCATTGATCTCCATGACCTAGAATGAGGCATTCCATTAATACTTACTGAATAAACAAAATGAATTTTAAGTATGAAACTTATAAAAATAAATATGCTTACTCACAAAAATTTTAGACAGCCTTTACTGTAAGAGGTAACAATAATAATGTAATGTTTTACATTATTTAAAAATTGCCATCTGCTTTCCATTACATTTTCTCTGTAACTACTTCAAAATGTGTTTCTCCATCAGGTAGATGTTTATTATACTTCATTCCTTAACAGAAAAAAGCACAGTTTCTATTCGCATTTATATATCCGCATCACAGAAATACACAGCACAATACAGATCCACCCTGATAGCCAGCACCTGTAAGCAGAAGTTGTGGCAAAGCTACACTGTCATGAAAGCTTATTTCAGCCACAATTTAGGAGCACAGGACGGTAACCAGAACGCAAGGAAAAGGGCCCTTTATCAATAGAACTCAGGATGTAAACACTGAGTTCTAAGTCCTAATTTCATATTACAGGGATTTTTGTATGTTTCAAGAATCATCAAACAATATTGGTGAAGGGGCCTTTAGAGATTCTCTAGTTCAAAGTCCTTGTTTTACCAGTGAGGAAATGGAGATACAGAAAGGAGAATAGGTCTGGATTGGACCTTGCTGTGACCTGACATGTCCACAGCCACGAGCTCTTAATTCTTCCTAGAACACAGTGAGAGTTTTCTGTAAAACAATGTAGGAGACCACATTCCTGTTCACAATAAGCCATCAATATTCAACTACAAGAATTGTTAATATAGAAGCAACCTTGTTTATACACAAAATTTAAATATTAAATGTTAACTATTCAGAAAACATGTAGGCCAGAGACTGGCAAACTTTTTCCAGAAAGATCAAAGAGTAAACATTTTAGACTCTGCAAGTTGTATTCTCTCTCTCTCAAACACTCTGTCTTTGTAGTATAAAAGTAACCAAACATAGTACACAATAAGCGTCACTGAGTTCCGATAAAATGTTAATTACAAAAATAGCCATCAGGCATTGTTTGGTCTGTGCACCAGTTTGCTGACTTGTAATGTAGACAATAATACTGGGTTACCATCGTTAGGATATAAGACTAATTTCTTCATTGTAGCAGTAACGGCTCATTTTTTTATTTAACCTTATAGAGATCAGAGAGAATTAGAACACCTGGATTTAGAGTTGGTTACAGAAAAATGGTCAAAAGATTCAGGACATGAGTCACTTAAGGCTGTGCGGTTTGGTTAAGTCTTTAACCACTTTGGGCTTTGGTTTCCCAACTAGAAATGAGGATAACTTTTATCCTTAAAGCTAGACTCAGGTAATAGTTACACTCTTGACAAATGTTAATTATTGCTTACAACCGGCTGCCACTCATGTACACAGAATTTCTGTGATAGCTGGCGGGGACTGGGAGGAGAGGTTTTTTGTTTTTTTTTTTTTTAAAGGCTGTATTTTTTTTTGTTAGAGAGCAAGTGAGCAAGAGAGCATGAGTCAGGGGAGGAGCAGAGGGAGAGGGAGAAGCAGGTCCCCCACTGAGCAGGAAACCTGATGTGGGGCTCCATCCCAGGATCCTGGGATCCTGACCTGAGTCGAAGGCAGACACCCAACCAACTGAGCCACTTAGGCTCCCCGGGGGTTGGGGGCAGGGGGGAGATTTGAACTCATCAATGTCCTTCAGACTTGCTCCAGATGATTTAAGTTAGTTCCATCACCTCCTGTGCAGTTAGTTGCTCAGGCCAATCACCTGGGGGGCATCCCCAAACCCTTTCCTCTTGCTGAACCCTGACATCAGTTAACAAAACCTGTTAGTTCTGACAACCTGGATCTCTCTCTCTTTCCTTTCTTTCCATTGTTACTGCCATGGCCCGACATTTGACTTGCCTGATGAGAGCAGTGCCCTGCTACTCGCCCTGAATGCACTTTCGGCACCTTGCTACCCAATGTCACATTTGCGCCAGACTGCCCTTCTTAAAACATAAACCCCCTCAACCTCTAAACCTATTCTCGAGATACTTTTCCGGCTCCTACTGCCTGAAGTACAAAATCTTACCTCCTTTACATGGCATACGGTGTCTTACAGACTGACTGATTCTACATCCTTGACCAACCCTTCTTCTACCCATCCCAGCTGTATTCCATGCTCTACCATAAACCACCACATGTGGTTTCCTCAATAGTCTATATGCTCTATGTCTGTGAGCCTTGCCATAGGACTTTTCTGCTACCCAAAGTCCTCTTTCCCCAGTTATCTGCGTGGCCTACTTCCTTATTTCCTTTACGTTTCTGCTCACATGGCACCCTCTCTGAGAGGCCTGCCCTGACCACTCTCCCCAGGGCATTTGTGCCCTTTATCCTTTATTTTCATAACATTTCTGCCACTGATAGAATGAACATTTTTCAATCTGTTTATTGTCTGTCTCCCCTACTGAAATACACACTCTAAGAGAGCAGGGTCTTGGTTCTCTTATTCCTTAACCCTCTGGTCCTTTAACAGCGGCTGGTACATGGTAAGCACTCGACCAACAGCTGCTGAATAAAGAAATTTTTGTTGAATGTTCCCTCTGCCTAGATTGCCTTCCCCTAACTATCAGCCCCACAAACTCTTATTCAGGCACCACGTCTCGGCTTAAAGAGCACTGCTTCTCTGCAGCTCTCCCTAACTCTCCCAAGAAGACTCAAAGTGCTCAAGGTCCTTTGCGCTCAGCTCCACCACTGATCAACAGGACCACCACCTGCCTGCCTCTCAGGCACACCTAGAACTGTGAGCTCTGTGAGGAAAGGACTGCATCTCTTCATTCTTGCATCCCCAGCTGGTCCAGAACAGGTGCTCAGTCCATGCTTACTGAATGAATACGTCAAGTTTAAAAAGAGCTTTTCTCTCTGTACAAACACAACTGACCCGTGAAGGGACCTGGACTTCACTAACTCATTGGTGAGAGCTTGGTGCTACACGGACCAAACTTGCTAACACTCATACTAAGGGTGACAAAGGCACAAAAACAAGAATGGTTCTTTTTGAGATAACTTACCCATAATCCTCTAAGGCACAACCCAGCATAAGAAAAGTCAGCCCAATGGCCCCACTGAAGGACAATGCCACGAGAGCTGTGAAGAATAAAACCAAGAGTTAAAGATCCCAGATCAGGGGTTGCCAGGACTTTAGGGGAGGAGAGGAGGAATAGGAAGTGCCTACTAATGGGGATGGAGTTTCTTCTGCGGGTGATGAAATGTTCTGGAATTAACTAGTAGTGATGACTGTACAACCTTGTGAATATACTAAAAACCACAGAATTTTACACCTTTTTTTTTTTTAATTTTTATTTATTTATTTGACAGAGAGAGAGAAAGCACAAGTAGGGGGAGTGACAGGCAGAGGGAGAGGGAGAAGCAGGCTCCCGGTTGAGCAGAGAGCCCGGTGTGGCTAAGCGCAAAGGCAGATGCTTAACCAACTGAGCCACCCAGGTGCCCCCAATTTTACACTTTAAAAGGGCTAATTTTATAGTATGTGCTTTAGATCTCAGTAAAAACATTCAATTAAAGAAAGAATTAAAAGGTCCCCAATTTAAGGAAAGATAGTGATTTACCTATTTCATTAGTTGTTATCATATTTGACTGGCAAATGACTGCCTATGCCCACCATGTTAAAATCATTAGGTGAGAAAGGTCTCAAGCACTTCCCAACCCCTATCTAATTTATAAATCCCCTCTATTCGTCACAAGAGGCTAGCTAGCCAGCCAGTCTGCACAACTCCAGTTGGAACTCACAGCCGCCAGAGGCAGATCATCTCCTTCTGACAATATCCAAGTGCTGAAAATCCTTTCTTTAAATTATATGCAAAAGTGCCTCACTGTAATATACATATCCTTTGATCATTTTGCCTTCCCCAACCACAGTACTTCCAAGTATTTGAAGACTGCTTTCATGTCTTCATAGAAAATGATTCCCAACTAGTATACACTGAATAAAATATTTATTCCCTGCGTCTGTTCAACACTAATCTCTGAAGGGGTAGGAACGAATTTGTCCTTGTCACGATGCTGAGTGGGAGAGAGAGTATCAGGGCTGTTAAAAAATCTTGAGCTCTGAGTCACCAACAAGGGTTCAAATCTTAACACTGCCACCAACTGGTTGTGTGACCTTGGAGAGAAACTGAAGCTTTCAATCTGATTTCTCACCTGTGAAATGGGAATAATGGTGCCACCTTGTCACGGAGCTGATGGGAAGTAAAGGAGATAATCTATATGAAGTGTTTGGCAAAAGGAGGTGCTCCATGAATAAATGTTGCCTGACAAGATATCTGCTCATCTTAGCAACGTTCTTTGCTAAAGGTATAAACCCAAAGCACAGGACACATGTGTAAAACTGAAACATCCCACCCTCTCCTTTCAAACACACTTCTTCCCTTTAAATTCTACCTTTTTAAATATTTTATTTATTTATTTGACAGAGAAAGAGCACAAGCAGGGGGAGCAACGGGCAGAGGAAAAGGGAGAAGCAGGCTCCCCACTGAGCAGGGAGCCCAATGTGGGGTTGCATCCCAGGACCCTGGGATCATGACCTGAGCCGAAGGCAGACACTTAACCGACTGAGCCACCCAGGTGCCCCTTTAAGTTCTATCTTGAAAGACCAACCAACACTATCATCACACTCTTAGAGAAAAATCAGCAATTCAAGGTGACTCAATCTCCCAGATGCCACTCAACCCTACTGCTACAAACCAATTGAGTGTGTCCTCTCCCCAAATTCATGTTAAACCCTAGTGCCAACGTGATGGTATTTAAAGCTTCTAGAAGGTGATTAGGTCATTCAGGAGGGGCCCTCATGGATGGGATTAGTGCCCTCATAAATGGGACTCCAGAGATCCCTTGCCCTCTCTGCCACGTGAGGACAGTGAGAAGATAGCTGCCTGTCTGTAAATGAGAAAGCAGGCATTCATCAGACCCTGAATCTGCTGGCACCCTGATCTTGGACTTCTCAGGATCCAGGACTGAGAAATGTATGTTTGCTATTGAAGCCATCCAGTTTTCTGGCATTTTTGTTAGAGCAGCCCTAAAGGACTGAGATGTCCACCCTCTTCTCCCAAACCCTCTGCTATTGCCCTAGTGCAGACCCTCACCATCTAACACCTGCCTGCGACTATGACCAATCCAGCCTCCACGTAGCAGACAGTGGTCTCCCAAATAGAGATGGTGTTGCCCATTCACAGCTGCTCTCACGACGTGCGAGTTGTTCAGGACATGTTCTCTCCACTTGGAAAAAACTCTGTCCTTGCTCCTTCCTTAGTAATAAGCCTTTCCCTTACTGACTTTTTTAGATTTAAAGCAAAATTGGCTCTTTTGTGAGAGCTGCCTCCTTCTCCCAGGAGCAGGGTTAAGTAATCCCATTTGTGTTAGTTTCCTGGGGCAGCTATTAACAATGTACCACAAAGTAGACCCTTTAAAACCACAGAAGTTTAGGGGCGCCTGGGTGGCTCAGTGGGTTAAAGCCTCTGCCTTCAGCTTGGGTCATGATCCCAGGCTCCTGGGATTAAGCCCCACATTGGGCTCTCTGCTCAGCAGGGAGCCTGCTTCCTCCTCTCTCTCTGCCTGCCTCTTTGCCTACTTGTGATCTCTGTCTGTCAAATAAATAAATAAAATCTAAAAAAAAAAAAAAAGAACCACAGAAGTTTATTTTCTCACAGTTCTGGAAGCTTGACATCTCTAATCAAGGTGTTGGCAGGGCCATGCTTCCTCCAAAGGTTCTAAGGCAAGACTCTTTTCCTTGCTTTTTCCTAACTCCTCTTTGGTGCTTCTTGGCGTCTACCTGCATCATTCCAGTTTTTGCCTCTGTTTCCCTGTGGTGACCTCCCTATGTCTCTATATGCAAATTTCCTTTTTTATAAGGACACCAGTCATCAGATTAGGGCACACTCTAATCCAGTTTCATCTTAACTTGATAATATCTGCCAAGACCCTATTTCTAAATAAGGTCACATTCACAGGTACTGGGGAGTTAGAACTTGACCATTTCTTTTGAGGGATACAATTCAATTCGTAACACCATCTCTAGCTCCTCCTGTTATCTAAGCACACCTTGGACACTTCAACAGTAATATAATTATTCCCAGTTCTGTCACCCCAAAATTACTTTTATCCCAAGTCATAGGCATAGAGCAGTCTCTCAATAAAAGGTATCTGTAAAATCCTTCTTTCCCTTAGTTCTTTTCCATTTTATACTCTATCTTCTTTCTCACTACAACACAATTTCTAACAAATTCACACATAACCATTTTTATTATTTGATAGTCTGGGGGTATGACTAAACAGCACAGTGCAGTACTGAGATACTACTTGTCACCTGTTTTTTGCATTGGCTACAAACGGACATGTCACACACTGGACACCGTCCAAGTAAACCGTATTTACTAAACTGATATAAAAGTCAGCCAGAAATAATGATAACATGTGTCTGCCACTAAGAGGTCACATACTCACCTAAATTTCAGCGTGCACACACATGCATGCAAATATACTCTACACATGTTTATAGCAGATGCTAATTAACTGGGAAGAACCTTGGGTACAAATTCTAAAGAGGACGGTAATTCCAATATAGAAACAAGTTCCACTACTCTATTCAAACATTAGAAATCCGAATGGTTTCCCACCAAAAGGAAGCCTTCCAGTAGCCTCTCCCACCGCTGCCACCCCTTTTGAACTGCCCCATTTAAAAAAAAAAAAAAAAAAAAAAAAAACAAAAAAAAACCACTGTGCGAACACTACTTTCTTGTCCGTCCATAGAGAGACACTAAAGAAAGTAACGATAACCTTCCACTAATCTATTCTCCACAACTACGAAATATGCAGAATTTCTGGGGGCGTTCCGTTGCCTGCAGTCAACTCTGCTCAACTGGAAAAATCATCAGTACCGAGAGGATTAGGAGCCCCGGTGCCGAGAAGACTAGAGACAATGGCTGCTCTGGAGGAAACGCGAAACTGCGGAGCTGCAGGAAGAGGGAGGAGAGGCGTTAGGGTGGACATGTCAGGAAGTGGAAATCCAGGCTGTTTAAAAACTCGGCAAAGGTGGGGGCGGGGGGCCGCTCCGAGGAGCTGAGGAGCCGGGAGGTGATGCTCTGGGTTAACCCGGGTGTCCCAGGAAGGCACTGCTCCTGGCTCCGGCCGGAGATCCAAGCGGGAGCGTGAAGACCAGCGAGATGCCACCCACACCCCGCGGGGCGAAGGGAGGGGGCGAACTTCCCCCACCCCCCCGGAGAGGCGGGGAGCGCGGCGGGCCTAGGGGATGCCGTTCCCCGCCCACGCGCTGAAGGCGCAGCTCCAGGCTTAGCCCGGGACGGAAGCGACACCCTACCACAGGACCTGGGAGCGAGCTGGGGGGCCACCGTTGTACCTTTAACGCCCGCCATGTCTCCCGAGCTGGGGCCGCGGCTGCTTCCGGCTTCCTGCCACCGCCCGGCTGCCGCCCAGACCCGGCCCCGCACCGCACCGCGGGTCCCCGGCCCGCCCCTTCACGCGGAGCCCCGCCCCTGCCGGTCAAAGACCCGCTGCAGAGCCCCGCCCTGCCACCCGGAGCCCCGCCCCTGCTTCTCCAAGAGTCTTCGAAGAGCCCCGCCCCTGCCGATCCCGATCCTCCCCGCCCAGCCACTCGGAGACCCGCCCCTGCTTCTCCAAGCTCCGCCACGCCGAGCCCCTAACGGTCCCGATCTTCCCCTCCCGGACACGCACAGCCCCGCCCCTGTTTGTCCAGGATCCGTCCTGCTCATGCCAGTCCCTTGTGATTTCCAAGTTCACTCCATGCACTTACAGCCCAGTCGCTGGGGTCTTTCGCCACTCAGAGCCCCGCCCCCACCGGTCCCGACCACGTGGGCCCCTTCTCTCAGACCCGACCCTTGTGGGTCCCCAGCTCACGCCTGCCACGCAGAGCCCGCCCATCTCGCCCGTAACCCCGTCTCCAGCTCGCAGAGTCCCGCCCCATCCCGTGATCCAGGTACGGAACTTGCACTGAAACCTGCTGTCACCGTGTAAACCCGGTCTTGCCCCCGGAGCCCTCCTCCTAGATCCTGAGCGCTAGGTGTAATCCCCGAACCCGCCCCACGTTCGCTCCTTCAGTCCCTTGGCTGGGGCCTCGGCTCCTCCGGCACCGCTGGGTCCGCGGAGCAAGACACTCCAGAGCGGCCTACCCAGTGCAGGTACCTCGCGGTGCGGTTCCTGCCTACAAGGAACCTTGTACCAGGTTCCTTGTACCAAGAAACCACCCTCTGCGTGAGGGTGGAGAACGAGAAGGTGGGGAGAGGGAAGGGGGGGATTACAGTCGGTAGGGAAGGAAGAGACACCCACTTACAGAGCAGCATTATTCTCTGAGCCCACACGTGCGCGCGCGCGCGCGCGTGTGTGTGTGTGTGTGTGTGTGTGTGTGTGTGTGTGTGCTCGCGCCCGCGGATCTGCGTTTACCGGACGAGGACTGCGACGGAGCAGGAGATGGGAGCACCAGAAGAGAAAAGGCCCAGAGGAGACATCCCTCCTGAAGATCTTGGCATTTGCATGGACTTGCCTTGCTTAATACTAACTTTAACACTTTTTTTTTTTTAAGATTTTATTTATTTATTTGACAGAGAGATCTCAAGTAGACGAGAGGCAGGCAGAGAGAGGGGGGGGAAGCAGGCTTCCTGCCGAGCAGAGAGCCCGATGTGGGACTCCATCCCAGGACCCCGAGATCATGACCTGAGCTGAAGGCAGCGGCTTAACCCACTGAGCCACCCAGGTGCCCACTTTAACACTTTTTAAACACCGTTTTTTCCCTTACATCCTGGTTTAGAGAGACAAAGACCAATAATCTTTTGCGTCTGAAACTTTCATGAACATTTAAATAAATACTATTCTTACACCTTAGGACTCAAAATCTGCAGGTAACCAAGTCCAGTTTAAACCTCATGGGACCATTTTGTAACTTTTCCTCCCGGGAATGGAGAGTTTTTTGTCTTGGTGGGGCCAGTCTGGAAGAAGCCTCAAACGCCATTTGATCCAGTGCTTTATTTTACCTTTGTGGAAAGAGGCTCAGAAAAGGTAGGGCTTGCCAGCTTTTTGGAGGTTGGATTACAGGCCGTTTACACCTCATTGTAGCTGCGAACTACTGCCCCTTTTCTACTGCTTTTTTCCTAATTTTCAAAGACTGAAAGATAAAGGGGTTCCCCTGGCGGCCTGAGAAGTACAAATTCTCACTACCACCACCACCTTTCAGGATCCCCATTCAGTTTACCTTTTCAAAACTGTACGATGAATGTGTTATTGTCTCAACACACGTTTATCTGTGAATTTTTTTCTAGCCCCTCCCATTTCTCCTCATAGATGGAAGGTACACTTATTAAAAACATGGTGTTGCTAATACCCAGCTCCCTGCAGACCCTTGCAGGTCCAGAATTCCATGGTGCTCTGCTTTACAGCCGGCAATCTACTTAAGATTGTTGAGAATGTCTTTTTCCCTCTTTTGAGTATCATATTCTTTCTAATACCTGTTAAAGCATTCAGGGAAACTGCCTATCAGTCAGCCATATGCTGGAAGCCTGTCTTTTTTAGCTCCTTTACCATAGTGCGAAGCTGCTCTCATAAGAAAGTTCAGGCTTGAGGAGTCAAGATGGCGGAGAAGTAGCAGGCTGAGACTACTTCAGGTAGCGGGAGATCAGCTAGATAGCTTATCTAAAGATTGCAAACACCTACAAATCCAACGGGAGATCGAAGAGAAGAAGAACAGCAACTCTAGAAACAGAAAATCAACCACTTTCTGAAAGGTAGGACGGGCGGAGAAATGAATCCAAAGCGACAGGAAGATAGACCGCAGGGGGAGGGGCCGGCTCCCGGCAAGCGGCGGAGCAACGGAGCACAAAATCGGGACTTTTAAAAGTCTGTTCCGCTGAGGGACATCGCTCCAGAGGCTTAACCGGGGTGAAGCCCACGCAGGGTCAGCGTGGCCTCAGGTCCCGCAGGGTCACAGAAGGATCAGGGGTGTCTGAGTGTCGCAGAGCTTACAGGTATTAGAACGGGGAAGCCGGCTACAGAGACAGAGCCGAGGAGTGACTCTCAGCTCGGGGTTACCTTGAACCGGTCGCAGGCTCCGTCAGCTCGGAGCGCGGCCGGAGGCAGGGTGACGGGAGTAAATCGGCGCTGTTCTCTGAGGGCGCACTGAGGAGTGGGGCCCCGGGCTCTCGGCTCCTCCGGGCCGGAGACCTGGAGGCCGCCATCTTCATTCCCGCCCTCCGGAACTCTACGGAAAGCGCTCAGGGAACAAAAGCTCCCGAAAGCAAACCCGAGCGGATTACTCAGCCCGGCCCCGGTAAGGGCGGTGCAACTCCGCCCGGGGCAAAGACACTTGAGAATCACTACAACAGGCCCCTCCCCGAGAAGATCAACAAGAAGCCCAGCCAGGATCAAGTTCACCTACCAAGGAGGACAGTTTCAATACCAAGGAGAGTAGCGTAATTCCAAAGGAGGAGAAAGCAAAGCACAGAACTCATGGCTTTCTCCCCATGATTCTTTAGCCTTGCAGTTAATTTAATTTTTTTTCTTTTTCAATTTATTTTTCTTCTTCTGCTAATTTTTTTTAACTTTTACCCTTTTCTTTTTTAACGTTTTTTAACTAGTTTATCTAATATATATATATATTTTTCCTTTTTATATTTTTTTCTTTATTGGTTTTCTTTTTTTAATTGTTTCTT